GGAGAGGCCAGCCACCCTTCGGAGGAAGCTTGCTTGTATTCGTGATCTCGTTCTTTCGGTCACTACCCACATCTCGTGGCCATAGTTAGGGACGCTTTTACACTCAGCTGCCTCTTCACCATGATGGACCGGTGCAGCGTCCACATTGAAGGACATGTCCTGGTCAAAAATGACTCCAAGGTTCCTCACAGCGTTACTGGAGGCCAAGGTAATGCCATCCAGAGTAAGAATCTGGTTAGATACCATATTTCTAGGCTTTTCAGGGCCGAGTACAATAACCTCAGTTTGATCTGAATTAAGAAGCAGAAAGTTAGCGGCCATCCAGGTCTTTATGTCTTTAAGACATTCCTGCAGTTTAACTCATTGGTGTGTGTTATCTGGCTTCATGGACAGATAGAGCTGGGTGTCATCTGCTTTGAATGTTTAGAGATCAGCTGTGATCAATGTGAAAATGTGTGCTACACATTTGAAAGATATTGCCAAAAGGAAGCATGTGTAATATAAACAGAACTGGTCGTAGCGTTTATCATTCAATGATGGCAAAATGCCCTCTGCACACGGTAGAGCTTTGATAGCATGTTGTAGCATATAAGAATATGATATAGTCTACAGGTGAGAAATCAGATATGAAGGACTCTTTCATCCTCGAGACATTAATGCCAGTCCTGTGCATCACTCCTTATCATAGTGACAGGTGCCATCGTTTCTACTTTCAGACCTCCCTTTACATGATCCCGACAGTAAAAAGAAAGACAGTATTATACCACAGATATGCCAAATAAAAGTATGAAACGGTCAGCTCAGATGTTCATGGTTTCTTTCTAAAAGGAAGGCTCCATTCATCTTTCTCCTAACTCTAGTTTGGATTGTGGGATTCCTGATCTGAGCTTCCAATGTTCATTTTATTTAGTTTTCCAAACTTGCAGTAGTTCTTTTATCAGACATGTAGTATCTTTACGTAATCCAGTCTTGGTATACTTTCCACGTGAGACTCACGAGATCAGATCTGAAACAAGGAAGTGCATCACTGTGTGTGTGTGTGTGTGTGTGTGTGTGTGTGTGTGTGTGTGTGTGTGTGTGTGTGTGTGTGTGTGTGTCTGTGTGTGTGTGTGTGTGTGTGTGTGTTTAAATGGGGAAATCCCCTTAAGTCTTCCCAGCTCAGCGGTCTGAGCAAGGCCATAGATAAGATCAGTGCCAGCCCTGATAATGTTTACTGTCCCATCAAGAACAACCCCCAACCCCAATTACTGACTTCCCCTGAGGAAGTGAGAGCCATCTCCTGGACTGAATACCCATCCTTATCTTAATTAGCCACCAAAAATGACCAAACCTGGCTCAGTCAAATATCCACACTGCTGGAATTAATGTTCTCCTTTAAGTTGTAATATCTCTGATATTCATTGTGTTTTAATCATCGTTCCATGGTCATGTTTAGAGTTTAGTGCCATGCAGCATGAAGCACCGCCTTTGTCAGTAATAACGTCGTTCACTCCATTTGTGGCCCGTTCGTCTTTACCGTGTTGCTTTGGTTCATTGAGGTTTGCAGAAATTCATTTATGAACGACTCTCTTAATCATCTGAGTCAGGCTGAGGTCTGAACTTTGACCCTTCAGTCCTTTTGTTTTTCAGTCATTGTGTCAAAGATTTGCTGCTGTGATCGGATAAATGTCCTCTGGAATATTTTGGTATAGAGAGGAGTTTGTGATCAGTCAGTCTATAAGGTCCTGTGGCTGCAAAATAACACTCGTCCATAACCTCCTGACAGGATGCAAGATGAATGAGGTGCTGATGTGCTATGGCCACATGCTGTGTGTTAGGGCCAACTGTGTTCTCTTTGGTCTGTCTAAAGGGTAATGAAGACATTTGATTTGCTCAGATGCTGGTTTTTAAAGTCAGACTGTACTGTCGTGTTCTTTTAAGAGAGAAGAGACTTTCTCCAACAAGCCTTCAAAACAAACCGTACTTGTTCAGTCTCGCTCTGCTAGCAGGGTCTGATCTTGGGGCAGATGTGTCAGAACGTCCTGGGAGGATTGTGGGATTGCACTAACACACAAGCAACCAGCGAGACATCTGTTGTAAGGGGGCCTCGTGCTGAAGATCAAAAGGTCGAGTACGTTGGATTTGGATGGGTGTTGCTGGTGCCGTGGATAAACGTGTTGCTTCACAGCAAAATGTTTCATGATTCAAATCTGAGGCACGTCCGTGTGGAGTTCGTATGCTTTCCTTGTGCCTGTGTCAGTTTCTCCTGAGTAATCCAATCTCCACCCACAGTCCAAGCATATAAATGACAATGAAAATTTGCCATCGATGTTAAGAAAATAAAGTATTTCAAGTGTATAATTAAAATATAAATGTTTAGTTATAATGCAGTTTGTAGCCTAAAGCATTTTGAATGTTCAGCAAGACTAGCAAAGTGTCCCAGTACATTAGCACCACCTGGTGACGCCTTGCACCTCGCTCATCTGTTTAAACCGGCTGCCCTCAGGTCAGTGCTGACAACATATACACAGGAGGAGAGTGGGCGCACCTGAGAACACAGCTAAACAGAATCAAACTGATGAGACAGGAGAAGCAAAACTGAACATTATATACACGAGACAGGAGGCGATCAAAATAAAATGTAAACTTGACAAAACTGGGAAGCCCATGGAGGCAGAACACAGAGAGATGAGACAGAGGACACGAGATACGACTGGTGAGACTGAAGGTAAACAGAGGCAAGGACGCTGGAGAAAAAGCATGGTGACAAGACCAGGACAGACTGGACACAAAAGGGGAAATAACAAATAAAACAAAGCCAAAGAATCAAGAACTACAAATAACAAACTCAGAGGTGCTACAACATAACAGACACAGGAACTAAAACATAAATTAAAAAGTCCAGAACAAAACTGAAAATACTTGATCAAAGATCCAGGACCGTGACACTATCCATCTATTCTCTAAACTGGAATATCAGGAGGCAAAAACAGGATCTGCAACCTGTGCACAGTCATTTTCAACGTTAATGTAGATATGGATTTTTTTACTTAAATATTAACACATTATTAATGTATTTACTGCAATTGTAAAAATTCTCAGTCTCAATACAGTCGTTTCTGTAAAGCATCAGAGGAAATGAGTGATGTCAGTCCCTAAACCTGTTTGGCCATTGTTTCCACCACAGCCACTGTGGAGCAGCGTTTCAGTGTCAGCTGCATGGGAAACACTGGGCCTGAGCTCACATCCTGCTTTTGTTGGTACACTTACAGGAATGTTTGTGGTTGGATAAATATTTGCTCAAAGTTTCCTCTTATTAAAATATGGATTTTACCACATAAACCAACATTTTGAATAATGCCTTTGCAAAGAGATGCTAGCATCTTGTGTCAGGAACTGAGGGTGTGACCTTTCCTGTACATTTAAGGTTGGAAAACAGACTTGGAAACCCTTGATGAGACATTTTGTCTGAACTGTATTGCAGCAACTAAACTGCGGCTGTAAGGAAGCTTCAGTTTTTCCACATTTTAAATAAATGCACAGAAATGTTGATGAGCTGGCGACTGAGCGTGGGATCTTGAAAGCCTGGAAGTTGAAATGAAACAAACAATCAGCTTTGGTGTTCATGTAACAGGGGAGTGAGAGGGTGAGAATGAAACTGTGAGCGACAGAGTCAAACTGAGGTATCCTACGAAAGGCAACACGTCAGGAGCAGAGCAGCCTTTAGTGAAGCTTCACTGCAGACACGGAGAGATGCATTTGCACTTTCTGACACTAAATGTATGCAAACTTTAGGGAACAGCTGGTGCAACAGAGAGAATGACACTGAGTGATTTTGTGGCTATGAGGCAGTTTTTCCAGAGGGAGCATTTCATACACAGCTGTTGGAGGCTATGCCTTAAAACATCAGACTGTAGCTCAGATGGTAGAGCACCACCTAATCGGCAGGGTGGTGGTTCAATCCCAGCCTGCATGCCAAATATCCTTGGACAAGACACTAGCCCTGAGCTGCTCTCAGATGCATCCACCAGAGAATGAATGTTTGAAAGTTACACAGAAAAAGATGTGATTGAGGCAAGTTGTGGAAAGTGCTTTTAGAGTTCGGCTAGAGTAGAAAAGTCTGTCCATGAGTTTACTGAAGTATCAAAATCACCTAAAATGTGCAGAACACAGGGTACTTTATTCAGTGGGATCCAGCAGGGCTTTTTCAGACTAGTTTAAAAATGAGTGGACTGCTTTTACACCTGAATGTTAATCTAACTGCAAAACATGTCCCTTTTTTTGAATGCGTCAGTGATATCAGCTCTGGTGCCTTGATCATCCTAATGGCACAGTGAGGGGAGAATGGTTTGATAACAACATCATCATGTTGTTGATGCTAGGAACTGGACCCAGAAACATCCTTATCAGCCTTGTTCTTACACAAACTCTTCCCATGGTTTCTGAAATCTCTCAATGTGAAGTGTGAAGCTTGGTGGGAGGTCACCAGGTAAAACCAGGTGAGAAAAGCAACCTGCAGGTCCAGCAGCACTGGGTGCAAGCTTATCACTCTCCTCACATACACTTCAACCTAGTTTTTCGACCCCCTGCTGCCAAGTTTAATTAATGTGTAGAAGGAGCAAGCACACACTAACAGTCACAGCAGGTGGGCAACAAAACGATTAGACTAAAGTAATGATGTCAGTGTTGAGTCTGACACTATCTGCTCTGGTTTAATAAAAAGGTCAGGATTTGAGACACTGTTAACCAAAACTTTCCATCATAATCATAACAAAAGCACTTTTCTTGCATAAACTAGACTAAATGATAGGCCTGGGTTTTAGTCTGCAGTGTGCTTCGGAAGCTCACTATCTGTGGTGACATTCTTCATTAATAAAACTGAATAATGAACAAATAAACCAAGCCAGTAATTATGGTTATTACACTACAGCAGTCCTGGAGAAAAAATAGAAGCATTGTTTAGGATAATAATGGCGTAATTATCATAACTATCTTAACCCATATGCCTTCTGCTTGTACAGGCGCAGCAAGTGAGTCCCAGCCCGCTATCTTCAGGACTCGGTTACCTGGAGCACATCTGTCAACTCGTTGAGAAAATCAGCCAGATGCAGGAGACTAACCTCCAGCTGCAGAGGCAGATCTGCAGTCTGCAAAAGGAACGCAGGATGAGAAAGGCCAAAGAGGTGTGTGAACGCTCTTATTTCAACTCATGCAATAAAGTCGAGACCTAAACGTGAGGATTTCTGCTAGCTGCAGCTTTGTCCGACGACCTTTAAGAGTCTTTGTCTGCAACTGGGGGTGTGGAGATTGAAAAGCATGTCTCATTGGTCTATATGGTGCTTTCCTACTAGGTTTGAGCACTCAAAGCACTTTTCCTTCACATTCCAAGCTTAAGCACTTTGAACCTGATCTCAGAGTCCAGCGGAGGCGTCAGAGGAAACTAAGGTTTCAGTATCTTGCACAATGATATTTGGAGATGCACGCTGGAGGAACAAGGGAATGAACCACTGGCCTTTTATAGACAACCAACTGCCTCTACCTCCTGTGTCTTTATGCTTAAATACATTTTTGTTTTAAATATTATGAGCAGTGCTATTACTGTAGGGTCTTTACCTTACAGTGTCATACCTCGAGGTGGCTGTTGTGATGTGGTGCCATGTAAATAAAACTGAAGTATACTGAAAAGCAGCACAGAACTTGAGAACAGAAAGGCAGAGCGCGTTAACAGTGCTGAACGACCAGGTCAACCTCCAGCCACACTCACAGCTGTTTAAACTGACATAGCAATTCTGTATTTTATAACCAATACATTTAATATGGACAGCACAGTGGTTAGTGCTGTCGCTTCACTCCAAGAAGGTCCTGTGTTTGACTTCACCATCAGGCCGGTGAACGAGCTTTCTGTGTGGAGCTTGGTGTCAGTCTCTCTGTGTTAGCCCTGCATCACATTGGAGACCTGTCCAGGGCGTACACTGGCTTCAGCCCGCCGTGACCCTGACAAAAACAACACTAAAGACACAGAGTAATCCTGACTGGAATATCGCCTGTGGTCTCTGAATGGACCGTCATGTACAGCTCTGTGTATGAGTGACAGCCCTGGTGCATCGTGTACAGCAGGGGTGGCAGGAAGAGCACCAGCAGAAAGCATTCACCATCTACAGTAACACTGTGTAGGATGTAGCGCACCCGAGCAAGTGTGTGTGTTAAGAAAATGACATGAACATCGATACTGTTAACAAATGAGAAGCTGAAAGGTAGAAGGACAGATTCAAAGGACGCACAACAGAGGCTGAGTCTCATTATCACATTAAGACTGTGACGGTTTATGGTCAACAACAGTCACCTCAAAACATTTTTATTGTAATGTAAAGTCCCTACAAACGACTCCCTATGAACACTGAACTTGGCGACTGAGGGAAAGAAAAACTCCCTTTTAACAGGAAGAAACCTCCAGCAGAACCCGGCTCAGTGAGGGGCGGGGCCATCTGCTGCTACAGGCTGCTGGTGAGGGGAGGACGACATGACAAAAGACTCTCTGTGGAAATTAATAATGATTGAATGCAGAGTGGTGTATAAACAGATAATGAGTGGAAGAAGCACTCAGTACAGCAGCAAAGACTATTGTAGTGTAACTACGGGAGAATTCACCAACAAGTAAGTGTGAGAGTGATATGGTACTACGAGGTCATTAAGATATCACACATGCACTTTCTTCTTTCTTTGTAAGACCAAGCTAACAGTCACACTCCCAGGGATGCATCAGAGAGTAACTTGGGTTACTGTCATGCTCAAGAACACTTGGCAGGCCGACTGGAGCAGACAGGGGTTGAATTGTGTTCTACCACCTGAGCTACAGCCAACAGAGGTGTGGCTACAGTGGTGAAGAGAAGCCTGGGATTGTTCTTATTTTCTGCGATGAATAGTAAGATGTTGTAGCTTTACAGATGGCGTATTTATAGAGCAGCAAACGGGCTCTCCAGACTAAATGGTTAAATTAGTGAGACAGCATTTCCTTTCCAGCTTACAAGTGATATCACCTCTCAGAGTGTCTGACTTTTTAAACTAAAACGTAAGTAACGACACACTGCAGGCTTGTTTTGGTTATACCTAGCAAACTCAGAGATTTAATGGGAACAAAAGATGGCAGCACAAACCCAGCTAGCTCAGTCGGTAGAGCGTGAGACTCTTAAGCTCAGGATCGTGGGTTCGAGCCCCACGTTGGGCGATGTAGCTCAGCAACAATAGTCCCGGTCCCTAAGACCATCATTGTCCTTAATGACTACAGACCTATTGTGAAGTGCTTTGAGAAGCTGATCCTAAAGTGCATAAAGAACTGCCCGCTTCACCTGGAGAATGCTGGGACTTCAGTAAAGATGCTCTTTGTTGATTTCAGCTTAACTTTTAACACCATCTTTCCAGACATTCTTATAGCCAAGCTGGTAAACTCAGACTTCCGCCTCCGCTACATGCACATGGATGAAAAACTTTCTCACTGACCGAACACAATCAGTCAAGGTTGGCACCCAGAGATCACTCAGCACTGGCTCACCACAGGGATGTGTGCCGAGTCTTCTCCTATACACCATCGACACCAGTGACTGCACCCCTCGCATCCCTGCATCATCATCACCAAATTTGCAGATTTGGTGATGATGGGACACCAACGATGGCGACACCGCCTACAGAGATGAGGTCTAGCATCTGACAGAATGGTGTGACTACAATAAGTAGTGATTGAATGAAGCCAGTTGTATAAAATGCTCTGAATGTTCAGGTAGAGCAGAAAAGTGCTGAGACCCAGTTCATTTACCTCACACATCCCAAGGTGGGAAAAGACTGGGAAGGTAAGTGGTAACTAAAACGAATGAGCGGCAGGAATAGTTTGCAATTACATGAATTAACACGCAACTCTGTCTGGGTCTACGGTTGATTAATAAACTGGAGTGAAACATTGCTCCTCCTCCTGGGCCTGTGGGGAGGTCGAGACAGAGCTTTGTCTGTCGTAGATCGTGGTACTGTTCAGGAACAGATGAAGGATCCGGTGCGGGTATATGTTCTGGTTGTGATCTGTTAGAGGCTGTGGGTAAGGCTGATTGAAAGCAGCAAGGCAGAACAGACTCAAACCCTCTGCTCTGTTACTGGCCCAGTCAATGTGAGAGTTGTGTTTCTGCAGCCAGAATTAATGGAGCGTCTGGAGACGTGAAAAAGCCGAGGGTCTCCCTAACTAATCAAACAGGCTCAGGCTGGTGAGTGATCATAGCTTCATCACATGAAGCCAACTGATTATTTAATGCTTGAAAACAAATTTCACACACAGTGTTTTCCACCCAGCCGGTCTCAGCAACCACAGGTCGAAATATCCACTGTGGATATGAAATACGCCTCAGCCCATGCCTGCACGCGTCCTCTCAGCACGCCTACGGCATACGAGAGTTTAGTGGCATCATCGTGGGAAGAGAGCGCTGAGCGGCTGAAAGCGAGCAGGTGGAAGGACCCCCCCCAAAATGCCACCACCACCACCACCACCACTCCCCAGGAAAGGACTCAGGTGAAACAGCATCGTGGGACACTGCAACTGAGATCGCAGGATGAGGCTGCGTGACTGCTTCATTGCTGACTGTGTGATTCCGTGTCACCAGTGGGGGCCATCTGAGTGGGAGCTGAGGCTAAACTAGAACAAATCTCAGGAATAACTCGAAGCATTTCCTCTTGTTTGTAAGTGAAGTTCTGCCTTTGTTCACCCAAGAGATGCAGTGCACTAAATATTTCATTAAACACAGGAGACTTAACATGTAATCATGGGGAGCAAAGGTCTATTTTTGGACACCACTCAGACAGCAATTCAAGAAGAACATATAGCTAACATGTCAGTCCTGGTCTGACTATGGAGGAGAGGAAACTAGATTAACTAAACAATGCTCACAAAGGGCACCAGCTCAGTTTGGTGGGTGAGCAGGCGCCATATTCAAGAGGAATGGCCTGTATTTGTAGAGCGCTTTACACATCCAGTCAGCCACAGCCACCCTGGGGCGCACTGACAGAGGCGAGGCTGCCGGACACTGGCGCCACCGGCCCCTCTGACCACCACCAGCTAACGGGTGAAGTGTCTCGCCCAAGGACACAACGACCAAGTCTGTCCAAGCCGGGGCTCGAACTGGCAACCTTCCGATTACAAGATGAACTCCCAACTCTTGACCTTTGGCCTTTGCTGCTCTCTCTCACCTCTGTAATGTCTGTCCAACAAAGACAAAATCCTCAAAAATAATGTTAAAAGAAACCATTAATCGTACAAGTGCTGTGCCTGTTCTTTGGTCCCACGATGCACATTAGCAACAACATTCAAATTACACATCCTACTGTATCATCATATATGATCTGCATTACGTGGAGTAAAATTCTAAAACATCATTTTTATTTAAAACCACGTTCAAAATCAGTTTTTCAGCTGTTGATCACTTTCTTTTGAAATGAAAATTTCATGACACATTTTCTTCTTCTCTGCTTTTTCCAGGACTTCTTCAAAGACTACTGCAGCTGTGGTGCAGCCAGTTTAGCCTTCCAGGATTTCCAGAAAACGCAATCCAGAGATGAGTTTTCATCGCCCAGTGGAACTCTCTCAGACCTGTCAGCCGTTCCAGAGGTCACACAGCACCCACTCATATCGACCGGTGGAGGTAATAGAGCACCTGGAGAAAACACACAAAAGCACCCGCAATCTCTACAAGGCTGCTAGATTCAATCCCAGTATCTTCTTGTAGTGAATAAATAGTGATTCATGAGAGGACTACCTGACATTTATTCCACAACATCTTGTGCAGTAACACTGATTATGTTTGTAACTAATATACAAAACATCGCACTGATGTAAATCCATAAAATCCTAAATCTGATATGAGATAAAACAGGCATAAACAAACATTGGTACAGAGTGCTGGAGTTACATCACAACTTCACCATCAAGTATCATTGAACACGTTTGCAAACTTCATGTAATTTTGCACATGTAGTTGTAAATGTACATAACATGCTGACAGCACAGCATGCTGGGAAATCTTTCACGGTGCAGCGGTTAAAATCTCACCACTAAACGTAGACTGTAGACTGTGGCCTGCCTGTGTTTCTACTCGTGTTTGTGGGAAATATTTTCTAACACTAGACTTTTACATATTTCAATAGTAGAAACACAAACTAATAAATCAGGAATAAAAAAACTGATGTGTCAATTAAAGATTTTGCAGTATTTTATGTTTTTAACCTGAGGCATCTCAAAAAAGTCTGGCTGCTGTTCATCAGGTACCATATCACCCTATTAGAGCACTTCACTCTCGCTCTGCAGGCCTACTTGTTGTTCCTAGAGTATTTAAAAGTAGAATGGGAGGCAGAGCCTTCAGTTTTCAGGCCCCTCTTCTGTGGAACCAGCTTCCAGTTTGGATTCAGGAGACGGACACTATCTCTACTTTCAAGATTCACACTTTCCCTTCTGTTTTTCACTCATCATGTGTTTTTTCTGATGTGATTTAGTACTATATAAACAAAACTGACGTTAAAGATTGAGTATGCCAGGTTTGTGAAGGCAGCCTGATACACGTCGATTCAGTGAAGCTGCTGTCCAATCACAGTGTAGGCACGTTGAGCTGGAGGTAGCACTGAGGATATGCTCTTGGTAACCTGCTGTTTTTAGCTGCTGTTTGCCAGCAACAGTGAAACTTTCTGTGAAGTCGATATGATTTTGTTGGACTCGTAAATAAAGTCTTAGGTGATGTGAGCATGTAATCAGCCTGTTTATCTTGAGCCTAACATCAGGATAATGTTATCTCATAAGCAGCTGTTGTTGCTGCTCCTGTCAGCTGTAACCTGTTGGCAGTAACTGGAATAAATAAGCATGTTTATGGTGTGTTTCCAATCGAGGGCAGACTGCACCTTTAACCTCCTGGGACCTGGCGTTCACATATGTGGACATTTATTTAGACCAAAATACCAATCAGCCCAAATATCAAAGAGAAATTAAAAACGCTGCTGTGGAAGAGTTCAGGTCTGAGGAGATAAGACAGCAACAAAAAGAGAGTCTATTACTTCTTCCAACAGAAATCAAGGTGTGCTCGTAGTTACTAACGGTCAGAGGTTTATGGTTTCGGTTGGATAAAACTACAACTAATGACCAACCAACAGCAGTGAAAAAACTGGCAGCATACAAAGCAGTTTATTTGCACAAGCAGGCAAAGAAGGATGCTTAGATGCAGTTCTCAGCTTCTCCAAACGTAGAAGACGAGATATTTTCCTCAGACAGGACTTACAGTCTGTTCTGCAGCCTTCAAGCTTCTGAAAACACCCTGAACGAACTAAACTGTTCTCAAATTGTTTTAGCAATGCTCGAGTTTCACAGTGTGACCCAGAACTACCCCCACAGTTCATCTACTTTAAAGAAAGGTTCTGCTTTACCCAAACCCGGGCGGAAATCTGCTCCTGACAGGAACACGGACCACGCACAGTCCACATAAAGTAATTTCACATTCGGATTCACCAACTGTTATGTAGCTATAGCACTGGACTGAAGCTGTGACAAGAAGTGATCTGTTTACAGTAAAGTAGGAGAAGAGGGGAGTGGGATGAGCAGAAGGAAAAAGCAGACATGCACTGTCTCCAGCAGGATTTCTTATAACAGCCATTACTGAATGAAAAATCACTAATCATGTAGCGATGCTTTGGAAACACACACACACACACACACACACACACACACACACACACTGCTGTGTCTGCCTGCATGGTCGGGTCCACCTGTACTTAAATCAAAGTCAGTGTGTTTTGCCATGATAACGTCCATCCTTCAGTTTGGGCAGGACACCGAGGACACACAGCGTCTGAAATGTTGTGGCTCAGCACACATGTGTAGTGTGTTTTGTTTTTTTACAGGTGCTTACAGCGTTGACAAAATGCACGAACGGACCAAACGAATACTGGTTTAAATGTTATTAGTCAGGCACAAACTGAACTGTAAGTGCTTATTGTTTGCTCCCTGTTTCAGGAGTTACAGGTGGTGGTTTCACACTCGCTCCTCCGTGCAGGAAGAGCCTAAGCCAAAGGAGTCACACTGAGGGGGAGGTCCACGGGGACAGCACTGAGGGGCTCTCCATCCATCAGCACACAGTAAGTGGTTTATCCTGACAGAATCACATTCTGCAGCGTGATTAACAAATGTTTTCACATGAGATATATGAGGCGACGCTCTGCATTCCAAAAACTCTGTCAGGCTGACATTGCATTTACTGCTGGAAGGGGAAATTGATCAGTGACGATTTTGTGTGTCTTTGTGTTCAGCTGAGTGAAAACAGCACGTGGGCCAGAGTCAAAGACGTGGTAAGGAAGACTAAGTTAAGGAATCACAGCAGGCTGGGAGCAGCCTCAGCTTCACTGAAGATGTCCTGCCCACAGCTCTACAGGTGAGGAGCATGCTCCACACCACAGTGTACGTCTATGATCTGCAGTCAGGTCCAGAAGAACTTGGATAAACGGCCATTTTGCTCCTTTTTCACATTTTGTCGCGGCACACTGGCCCAAATGATCCGATGGGCAGCTAATCAGGGGTCCGTATACAGCTGGGGACCCATCAGAGAGGCAAAAGGTGGTCTCCTAACAAGTGATGCAAGTGAAGCAGACCATCATCAGGCTGAAAACGTCCCACTCTCCTTTACGAGAACATTTCAAGACACCCACACACACAACACAAGAAGACTGATGTACCTGCACATGTTTCAGTGTATGTTTGTTTTTCTTCACAAACATAAACAAAACTCACGTTTTCTGCTCACTTTCAGTAAAACACACATTTTCCTGTTTTTACTTTTGCTGTAAAACATGTATCAACATAATCCTGCTTTCCTTCTTCAACTTGTCAAAGACACGTTACATCCTCACGGGTCGAAATCACACCAATTCAGAGCCACTGAAAGGGCACTGTACCTGTGTCCCCTGTGTGATAAGGAAGATTTATAGTTATTTATATGTGAATATCCAGCATGAGCAATGTGTTTTGGAAAGGACAGCCTAAGAGACCTTTGGGCAGGATGCAAAGACTGGGACTCTAAAAGGGGCTTTTCGCCTGTTCTGGATGAACACTGGCTCTTCTTTATTTGAGAGCTTGTCGAGGGAGGAGTTTAATGGGAGGTGGAGGGTTGCTGGCACTTCAGCCTCTCCCTCTGTCCTGACTGGAGCTTGGCACCCACCCAGATGGACAGAGCAGGGTTGGGAGAGTCAAATCAGCATTCCTCAGTGTTCTCGTGTAGGAGTGGGAGTCTGGGATTTAGGCCTAGTAAGGTCTCGCTGTAATCCAAGATGTTTTAGAAACACCCTTCTCCTGCTGACACATGCACAAAGTAAAAGAGTATCTTAGATGTGTACGTACACATGTTTACTCCCTGCCTTTTCATCTTTACAGGCCTGATCTGGGACCAGTACAATCATCTAGCACCAGCAGGAACTCTATGATTGCTTTGGGCCACCGGAGTACACTGGACTTCCCGTGGCTTGAGTAAAGATCCGGGTAGTGAAGAGTGCTTTTGATAAAAGAGCAGAACGACTTGATGCTGGCCAGACGACGGTTGTAGCATCTCCAAAATAATGAGAACAGTAGTTTGGAGTACTAAAGGGTCTGCGTCCTAATCATTTCATTAGCAGAAGCAAACCTGGCTGTTTGTTTTGGACTATACAGACTCTACACAGCAAAAGCAGATGCACACATAGCAACATGTGCAGCTTCCGCATACAGGGACGTAAATTATGACACGTTTTTACTGATGTCTTATGTCTTTTTTATTTGTTCCTCTTTAAATGCACCACCATTTCTTTCAGATGTTGCTTCCAGACTGTCTTGTGATATTTTTAAAGTGTAATAGTTCTTCACTCAGTTTCACTTTCAAGGCTTTTATTTATGAATGTTTTGAGGAATCGGGGAAAAGGGGACGACAAAGAAGATGTAGCGGGTCTAAAAGTCTATCTGCAGCACGTGAACTGTATCTGAAACTCAAGAAATGAGATCAAATGCAGCAAAGATCGGACACATGGACTCTTCACCAAAGCTTCATCAGAAACGGCCTCCGTAGAAGGCTGGCTGTCAGGAAGATGGAGGAAAGGCTGAGGTGTGTCACATTACACAAGAACTGACTGAAAATCAGTGTCAGCGGGTCTGATGAGGTGCTGAAGCCAAATTTGAAGCATTAGTCAAAAGTTAAAATCAGCGAATGAAGATGTGATCGGCTGATTTCTGCCACATGTAGTCAAGAAATGACTTTGTCTGACTTGTGGCCCATTTCCGTTGGCAGCCATATTCCCATACGTGCCTTTTACATGTTCTCCATCAGGTTTCGCTGACGTTTTATGCTTCGCCGTTCCTTTCCTCCGTCTGGTGTTTGTTTTTGCAGAAACAGCCTGTCTGGTCGGGCCTCCTCGCTCTCCAGTGTAATGAGCAGTTCATGAAGTCATCTTTTGATTGGAGACTTCTGCTTCTGTGAGACTGTTGTGCTGAGCTGGTTCAGTCTTCATGTTGAAGACGTTTTATTTGACAGCTGCTAAACTTTGCACTCGCTCTCTCCAGCCTAGTATGGCCTCGTCCACAGCAGCTCCTGTGACCTCATATTGAGACTTGTAGTGCACAGCTACCAAAGCAGGTTCAACATTTCACAGCACGTCCAGTGTAACAAGAGAATAAAACACCATCTGGCCATGAAACTGCTTGTCAGCTGTTCTTACTTTGTTGTTGTTGTTCAGCCTTTGGAGATGGGAGATGTAAAATCCTGTCTGCGTGCTCTCTGTAACTGTGTAACAATGTCTTTGTCCTGATATATCGGACTGAAATCTGTAACTGCTTGCAGAGTTTTGAGCTCTAGATGTCAGTGCGCTGTTAGTACAAAGTCAAACTGATTCCTCAGAGGAAGTTTTGAAGGTTTTCTAAAAGAGGATTTTGAAGTTGGTGTGATGCAGAACTTTAACTCAAAATTATGAGAGCTGAAGACAAACAAAGCAAACACCACATGAGACAATATACAGTACGTGCTGGTTTATTAAGCAGAGTTTAAGTCCCCGTTCTTACAGCTCTCAGGCAGGAGAAACACTCAATAAGGATTTAGTATCAGTGATGTCACTGATGACAAATTTGATTCGATGCTTTCAGATGGGAGCTTTTTAAATGTAAAGATGAATAACCCAGAACAGCACTGCGTGGGCCGAACCTCCCTCTGCTTCTGCTTTGTCTGTTACAAGTAACAACAGTGATCACAACATCCAGCCACAATCATTACAGTTACCACATAATGTGCAACAGAAAGCCAAATGATTTGAATATGTGGCAGAGGAGACAGAAAACCATCATTTGCTGGGAATCATTCTGGCCTTTGTTGCTCTGGTCGAATTATTAATGAAGCCATAATGTGCTGTAAACCGAGCATGAGGAGCAGGAGGAGAACTCCAACAGAAACAACATTTGAAGTGGTTTTTAGTCATATTTGAGCTTTAATTTCACTCCTTGTTTTCCCTCTAGTCTCTTTATCATTTAAACAGAGAAGGCCAAGGTTTCCTGTTTGACTGACAATCACACACTGCCTCTACACAGAAAAGCTCAGGCTACACACAGGGACACTCATTTTTATGCTAAAGATACCAGTGCTTCATTTAATTTACACAGCACATCGTTTTTTTCTAATATTTTTTGAAAATGTTGAAAATCTTCACAGGTCATTAATAATATATTAGTGTAAATATGAACAGTTTTGAGGTGTTCAGCAAAGCTTTTCATGTTTTTTAAAGATCACTCCCTGGAAGTCCCACCTCAGAGTTGAACTGCTGCATCGAACTTTAACTCACACCAAACATCAACTTCTATTTCAAAATGAGCCAGATGAGGCGCAGAGCTTAGCCAGCTGAAGACTTCTGCAGCATTTCTTCAACCAACATTTTGGGTAAAGTTGTACACAGTAAAAAACAAAGAAAGATGGAATAACTGGGACTAAAGCGAGATCTGACGTCAGCTACTCCCAAAGGACTTTGGTGTTGAAAAGAGCAAAAGGAAAATGTTGTCCTCAAGCAGTCATGATGTTATTCTTCGAAGAGAGGCGGAGGAGAGAGTTTCAGTTGGAAACTTTCTGTTCCCAGCTGGACGGAGAACAGAGATCCTGTTTTCTCGTGGCAGTGGGAGACTTCTGAAAGCATGGACAACTAGGAAAGAGAGAGGATATAGAAACAGAAGAAAAAAAGATCATGGTCCATCCTGATGCTCACGTGGGCATTGTTGATGTTGTTGGTGGTGGATAGCACGGCACCCTCGCTGGTCTGCAGCCTGACTGACTGCAGCTCAGGAGGTTGAGCTAAACCACAGGTTGCATGGCTTCGGGAGTGACTGTGCGTTGTTAGGAGCCCTCAGTCCCTGTGCAACCGCAGTGAGAGCTTGGATTGTATCGTCAGCAGTAAGTCTGGAGCTGAATTTCCAGGATTCTGTTTTCCTGTTGGACTATTATCAGGAACACTAGTCAACATTAGATCAGAGTAGGTTAGATAAGTATAATTCAAGGGATTTGATTCTGTTTTTATTACTTTTGGGTTGTGCTTTAATAAAATATCACCCATTCAAATAGTCTAAATTGTGCATATTCCTTTTTTAACCCTTTGTGAAGGTAAAAACTTGAGTATCACGGGGCGATTGTGGCTCAAGAGTTGGGAGTTCGTCTTGTAATCGGCAGGTTGCCGGTTCGAGCCCCGGCTCGGACCGTCTCGGTCGTCGTGTCCTTGGGCAAGACACTTCACCTACCGTCTACTGGTGTTGGCCAGAGGGGCCGATGGCGCGATATGGCAGCCTCGCCTCTGTCAGTCTGCCCCAGGGCAGCTGTGGCTACAACTGTAGCTGCTCCACCAGTGTGTGAATGTGAGAGTGGATGAATAGTGGCATTGTAAAGCGCTTTGAGGGGTCCTGAAAAGCGCTGTATAAATGCAATCCATTATTATTAATAGAGTTTAAATAGCTCTTACAATTTACTCCAGATTTCTAACAGTTCAACTGAGTGGCTTGGCACTGATCTAGAGGGGGGGCTGATGAATACTGGGCCTGCAAGGCAACTCAGGGTTCCTCCCAGTGGAGGAGGGAGGGTAGACATTCAGAAACCAGTGGCCTCGCTCATCAACTCCTAGACTCTGCACTGCCTGCTGACCCACAGAAACATACATCAGGATTAGATAAACGGGGACTTCCTGTTTTGGGGTGCTGGTCCCACAGATGGACACACCCTACCAAGGCTACGTGCACTGAAATAACTGGATAAGCAAAGACTGCTTTTTTACCAGTTTCGTGGCTCAACCTGCCAAGAAACTGCTTATCGGTCCATCCAGTTACTTCTGAGCCTCTGAAAATGTCGTTTTGTGTAAAAATAGCTAATGCAACACTTCTGTGCAACAAGCCTGCACGTCAATCACATCTTGATTGTTTGACATTTCAGAGCAGTACACAAGCACACAAACTCACCTGTAGGATCACCTGCTTGTGTTTGTTTTTACTGCTGTTGTGTAATGATAACTGTTTTTAAACTATAACAAAAAACAACAAGCACTGCGTCACATTAATTTCAGCATCAGTGGAATCTGTCATGTCCTAATGAAAATGCGCTCGTTTTAATACCCTGGATGGTCCTCGGTATAAGCAGCGGATTTCATCCCAGGACTGCTCCTGCTGAAGGTCCAGTGCTGCCTCAGTGAACACCTGCGTCACAGCACATACACCACAGACACTCTATTACGATGTCATTTGTTACATATTGTGTAAAAAGTGCAAAAATGACAGTAATTTAGAAAGAAACCAGAACTGCAACATAGTTATTAGTTTGATCCGTCTCACATTCGATTGATGAGACTCACGTTAACTACAGAATGCTGTTGACATTAATGTTGACATTAAACTACAAACTGAGATTTGAATAGAATAAGTTGTGTACGTGATCCATGATTTCAGAGTTATTGCTCAGAAAACGTTTGAGCAGAAACAGATCAGCAGAGGGCCACAGCGCGACGCCCGGGGGTCGATCAAACCTACCTTCTTCCTGAGAGCCGACGCCCCTGTGTCTTGGCGTGCTGATGTCACATGTGTCTGTGGCACAGAGAGGGACAGCGTTGTTTCAGCCATGTTAGTTTCAGTACAACGTTCCTCATCCTTGGACTCAACAATGAAATCAAAACAGCAAGGTTTGGAAGGCCGCCCAGCTCCGCCCATGTCATGAAACGCAACACCAGAGCATCTGGGTTAATAGGATGTATCAAATGTGTCATTTAAATACAAACGTGTGTGTCCACAGAAACACCAAACAGATAAAGCAGCCATTAAAGATCAGGTAAACAGATTGCACAGAAAGACGTCAACACGGACCCCCCGGCAGCACGCACACGCGTGTTACCACATCGCACAGACTCGAAAGCTGCAGGTTTCGTCACTCGACGACCAAAACTCATCAAACCAACAGCAAAACATCGTCATGAATTTATCTTGGCTTCGCTGCCATGCTTCCACCACAATAAAAGCCCACCAGTTTCCCATCAAAGGTTGATGCTGGTATGTTCTGCATTACTCGCTTGCTTTTATGAACCAGCTGTTTTGTACAGCTGCTGTTTTCCCCTCAAAAACGACCTCTGACAAGAAAGCCTCATTTCTGCTGTTCAGTACCAAAGGAAACTAATTAGGCTCTAAGAAATCTCTTAGTTTCTGTTTCCACTCTCTGCTGTAGAAAGTTCTGTTTCTTTATGACTAAAAAACAAAAACTGGACAGTCTGAAATGATCTGACGTTTTATTTCTTACAATTTAAATCCAAAGAGTCGTGCTGATGGATTCCTGTCTTTTTCTTCATCATGTAGAAAAACAGTTAAATATGTAACGTCTTCACACTGACAGAGAAGAGTGGGCTGTAGGTGGTCCCCCGTTTAAAATGAGTGTGACACCCCTGCTGTGTCCTTTCTTGTTGGATTAGCTGTTTGGTTTTTCTCCTTTAACTGCATCAACATCTGTGCCAAAGGGTCAGCTCCAGCTGCAGGTTCAGTGCTTGGAATGACCAGAGCTTTAATCAGCCCTATTTGCAACACAATAACAAGGAAAGATGAGACTGTGGGCTGTCTGACAAAATCGCTTCAAGCCACTGAAAATGGGAGACAACAGTTAATGCTACGCTTTCTAAACCCCTGCTGAACGTCTGCAGTCACATCTGTACTGTCTGATTCCACACAGCCATAAAGGTGAACATGTGAGCAGAATACATTTTGCTTTAGCTCGGTGATTGTTGTATTTTTGAACAAACTTCTATCATTTCATGCTGGGTTAAAGCACTGACATATCTTCTTTCACTGTCACACACACACACACACACACACACACACACACACACACACACACACACACACACACACACACACACACCTGTGCCAGAGATGTGCTACGGCCTCTCTTTGGTTCAGTGGAAGGCCCGACTCTTCCTCCGTGGATGGCCGAACACTTGTAGCACCTCCACTGCCGCTGCAGCTCTGAAGCACAGCCCCACACACAATCCTTTTGCTGCAGGCACTGCAGGTGGTACAGGTGACCACAGCTGGAGAGACAGACATTCATAAACAGTCATTTTAATGTCTATGGATTGTTTTGCTTTTAGCAACAAGTTCCATCTAAGAAAGCCTAGTGAAGGGATCTGTGAGCTG